TTATGGTCCTTTCAAAAGAAAAGCACTATGATCATTTCGGTCTTAGGTTCTAGTTGTAAATTTAAGTAAAACATTTAATTCAAGTGAAATATGCAATCACTTAATACAGTATTTAATTTTAGTAAATTAAAGTTAAATTCCAAATAAATAAACACAAAATTAATATAAAAACTAAGAACAAATATAATAATTTGCCCGAAACGGTGTGCGTATTAGTGGCTTTAGGTATTGTATGTACTAGCTCTATCTATAAATCCAACATTACGTTTGTAACTCATCTTTTATGTATGCACTTTTACCTGAATAAACATTTTGTTTTTTGATTGATAAATTGAATGCTTCAGTTCCCCTTCAAGATGACAATTACTTCAAAAATACTGTAGCTGTCAATGAGCCCTGATCTGTTTGACTTGACAACATCATTTCCCAGAGAGAGAGTGAGAGTCTCTCCAGAGTAGAACTGAGGGAGATAGGCTTATTGAATCTGAACAAGTTCTTAAATGACGAGCAGGAGAACATGCCTTCGTTGATAATGACAATCAAAATCATAGAATGCTACGGATATGACACTTTTCTGAAGAGATTGTACTCAACTAACACCGATTTAAAACAACTATTTGGTGCATAATTTATTCCTATGTTAATAGGATATACAAACATATTGTATTTATAAGTAACACAAACAGTTCTATATTAGCTTTTCAAAATGAACAAAAGAACCAAGGAATGCCAGACCATCCTGACCGGCTTTAAAATGACCATCAGTCTCCACTTTGGCCTTGCCTGGGAAAAACAAAGATTCACTTTTCTCATCACAGTACTTGTCATGGATCGAGTTCCAGGAATACGGTCCTTTTGGAACTTGGTAGAGCCCACCTTTCACTGAAACTTACAAAATATGCATGCTTTGAATGCTGTAACTAGCATAATGTGCACACTTTGAATGCTGTAACTAGCATAATGTGCACACTTTGAATGCTGTAACTAGCATAATACAAACACTTTGAATGCTGTAACTAGCATGAGAGCTGCACTCGGAACACTAAAACTAGCATGAGGCACACTTTGAACACTGAAATTAGCATAAGAGACATTTTGAACACCAATAAAAGTGCACTTTAAACAAAACTGTAAAATTAGGACTTCAAAATGTCCAAAATACTCATGAACATGACCAATGCAATATTAAGCATTCAGCCTACAGAATAATAATTATCCAAGGAGCCAGTGGATTTTTGCTGGTTTAACAGTATGTCTGTATTTAACCTCTTGCTCTTATACTGTATATGAAAAAATATACTGTAGTTGAAAATAAAAACTATAAATCTTATGTACTTGTATGTGTGTAATTTAACACAGTAATAGTATTTTGAGTAATTTAGTTTGCTTGCGTAGAATAAGGTTGAATATTGTTTGCCTCACTAATGCCTTGGCACGCCTCGCAAAGTCTTCCTTCAACTTGAAAACTAATGAAAATTTATGCAATATATCTAATTTTATATTTCTTCTGTGCATTATAACTGTATACATATACATATATATTTTTAGCATTTAGTTTTATTTCCACACTGAAATAGGTCAATATTAAGACGTTCAACTTGTGATAATCTCAAGCGAAGGAAGATGAACAAATGACAGTCTACAAATGTATCTGGAAACACTACTTGCTGGTCCCATGGATCACAGCCCTTGCACCTTGACCTCTGACCTAATCTTTATGTAAATAAGTGTCAGATTGTATTTCTTTATTATTTGGCACTGTATCCAAATATAACAATTAAATTTTCGAGATATTCAAACAAAGCTCAGAATGAACAGACTACCGTGCAAGATAAATTTTGCTTTACATCTTTACAAATAATTGAATATTCATATAATTTGGACAACCACTTTTTGTTCACTCTTAAGGTACAGTAATAATATTCACTGGCAAAAATTTGGAGCAATGCTACCATCTTAAAACTATGCTGCTGATTATTAAAGAAATTATTAAAGCAAAAAAAAATAAATAAAATAAATAAATTAAATAAAAAGAAGTTAAGGAGTAAATTATAATAAAAATACCCACACTTTTCAGGAATTTGGCAACTCGATGCCCACCAAATATTATCAACCAATCTCGAAATGATCGTTTCATAGTGACACTCCAACTTTCATCAACACTTCATTAATATTCATCTGGAACCATCCTTAAATATGACTGTTGTCACAAGAAGAAATGAAGTGAACATATAAATTCCATCTTGCAATTATTTCCCTTGTTGAACTTTAATAGTATCCACTTCAAACCATTTTTAATGATGCAAAGCTTCAGGAACACAGAATGGAGGTAAACGAAGTTTAGATCCTGATGTGTAGTCCATGATAACTTCAAAGGTGTTGCCATTTAGTAATATATATATGCTTTAAGAACACAGCCTATTGCTGCCCAAATTATTATTCCCTTATTGTAATTTAAGCTGATGAAAATGTAAGAGGCCTACGAATGAGTATATATAGTAAATATTTTTTGGCTAAAACACCAGATTGAAACGTTACATTTATTGCTCATACAAATGAGCCCAAAATGTACGGGCTGGCAACTGAGGCAGCGACTGGTCACGCTGATACACACCACCCCTTTCAAACCTGTTATGGCCCAGGTATTGTAGCAGCAAACATGGTGTCAAGTTTCATTGGCCTACGAGCTGAGCTACAGTGAACATTTCATCCCAAACTTTTATCTCGCTGAAGAATCTGTCATGCTCATTAAATACTTCTTCCTTTTATAAGTTTTTCTTCCTTTTATAACTATTTGCTAACGATTCTTTTTATGTAAAAAGCTATTGTAATTAGTGGTTCCATTCCACCAGTGCTTTACAAACTTAGCACTTGTCATGGGTAACTACTAGCTGCTCACCTTAACATGCAGTGTCATAACAATAGGTCATCTATACTAGGTTTTCTAGTATCTATCTAAAAAAAATCTAGTGCACTCTCTGTCACTGGGTCAGCTTGAGAGGAAAATGAGATCAGAGAGCTACATGCAGAGAGAAGGAAAGCAGGCAGTGGGAAGGTGGGGGAAGGATGTGGGTGTTTAAGGGATTTGCAGGTATTTGGTGACAAGGATATTCTGGTATAGTCCTAGCAATGAAGGGCTATAGCAGGAAAAGGAACGTTACAGACGAGGCTTCTGGGCTGACTGGACTAATTTAAAAGGTTGGGTAAGAAATCAATTATCTTAGGAATACTGTTGCTATCAAGACAGAGGTGGGGACATAAATGTGCACACTAAAGAACGTATCAGTGAGGGCCATGTCATAATTTAGTTTCATGCTTTGCCCAGTGTCCTCTAGCACCTAGAGTGGAGACATGGGATAACTAGAAAAGTGAAGTACAGAGGCGTGAGTGGGTGGAATGCTGGCGGGCAGCCTCACCTGTTCGGTGGTGGGCGTAATAGCAGTGGGTGAATGAGCAGGGCTGTCGTAAGGGGAGACTGGTTGCGTGGGAACTTGAGCTGCTAAATGTTCGCTGACTGATCCTTGCACACACCACAAGCCCTGGTATAGGTGTGGGTCCGTTCTCCAGTCATAAGTGTACGCTCCTACTGGTGGGTCATCCAGGGGTGGATCTAGTGGGGAATCATCTAGCACAATTCTGGCTGATAAAGGGTCACTTTCAATATCATTATATTCAAGGGTATTGCACTGAGGGACAAATAGATGAGAGTCACTATCTAAAAGTTCACTTTGTATTAAGGTATTATGCACTAAATCAGTTAATTTCAGGTGAATTTCTTTAGTTTCTCTTTGATCACATTCAATAACAGTTGATTCATATGGCAAGTCAGTAACTGTATATTCACTCTGTTCAAGATCAGTTTCACTATGCTCATGCTGCTGGGTTTCATCAACTGGTGAATCATCAGTTATGAGCACATCAGATGGAGGCGTGTCTACTAAAGGAGCATCTGAGGGAGGAGTGTCCAATTTACTTCCATTTGGTCTTGTTAACTGAACGCCATAACAGGGATTAAAATGTCTAAGGTCTAGAAACCTTCGACTTGCTGTACTACTTTCACTACTACTGCTTGTACTATTTTCCTGATCACTAAAACTTCCATCACCTTCAGTCACTTCCTGGTGTTCCTGAGTTCTTTGTGCACGCACATGCCAATGAGCTAAGGCAGCACGCGCATAATAATAATATGGATTTACCAGTGGATCTGGATCATCTGGTTCTGATATGGGTGATTCTGTCACAAATCTCACTGGCTCTGGATACGACTCATGAATTGGAGTTGAAGTCTCGGGTATTGGAGGAGCCACTGGAAAGGACGCTTTTGGATCTGGAGGATGTGGTCTTCCAAAGTGTTGACTCTGCTGCTGATGGGAGCTGCCTTCGCTGAGTGGAGTGCTGGCCTGAGGGGGTAACGTGAAAGCTGCAGCAATTGTGTGGGGAGTGTGGTATTGAGTCCCAGAGGGCATCAGCAGGGTAGAGGTTGTGGAGGTAGTGTGGGTGGCAGTGGGACTGATGGGTGAAGTAGTGGTAGTGGTGGTGGTGGTGGTAGTGGTAGTGGTGAAGGCATGAGCTATGGTGGAGCACACTCTTTTATAAGTGCCAACAGAACAGTTAGAAGGAGAGTACACAGAAGAATAAGGAGGTGAGGAGGAAGAGACGTCGAGAGCTGCTGCATGAGGGTCGGCAAGTTGTACGTCCCTAGCCGATGGTTGAAACTGGCTGACACTATCACTGGAAGGGTCAATGGAAGGATTGCCTGGCTTAATATGATCACACTCACGCAGAATACTAGGACTTTCACTCCCAGGAATATTAGCCTGCAAATTATCTTTTGTACGGACAAAAACCTCTTCTGACGAAGCTCTTATATTGGTGAAATCCTTCAATCCAGTAGATCGAACTAATCCGCATGGGTGTAATCCATCTGGTTGGATGGGAGTGTCCATGGTAGATGAAAGAGTGGAAGCTGTAGATGGTGTAGTGAAGGGTTCCTGGCTTACCTGAATGAGTTCTGGTGTCGGAGTTCTTGCAGGAGTGATTGCAGTAGGATATCTGGAACTAAGCCGGCTCACGTCACGTGAAGGAGCAGCTGAGTGAGCTGGGGTCTGAAAGGGAGAGAAATAACGAAAATAACTATTATTTTCTTTTCTTTCTTATGAAAAATACTAGGAGTAAACCAAACTTATGCTTAAAATACCATCTCTGAGGTGACCTCTGTGTGGCGAGACAAAAATACATAGTGACAAGAGGTCCTTGTGGGCGGTAGGATTAAAGATTTGAGGGTGTAGGTGCCTTCAGTACAAACAGGTTAAGAAAGGAATGCATAATGCACATTCACATAATTGAGTACAGTTTACTGTAACAATGTTGAATGCTTTAAACAAACGTTAAACATGTCTTTACGAAACGAGATGGAAGAAAGTGATTAGGAGTTGGGTACAGTGCCTGTATATGGAAAGATTAAGAAACAAAAGTTAATACATGTAATACATTCAATGGAACAAGAGACTTAAATTTAAGGACTTGTATAAGGAGTAAATGGCTTTGAATTTACTATAATTTTGATGCTATCATCAACAGCATCAAAATTATTGCTTCTTCAGACTAATAAGCATCTGCATAGAGAGGTTAGGTGGGCTGCCTAAGTTCAAACACTTCTAGCTAGGCAAAAATCACTTCAAATTTGACAATCATCAAATCATGAGAACAGGTTACGGTACTTGAATTCCATTTTTCAACCTCATTGATGTCTATATTTGTAGATAATCTGATACTGTATGTCTAGTCTAAGTTCAGTACAGCAAATTGAAATGGCATCTACAGTCTTTGATATAAATATAGGAACAACAGAGGTATTGTTAACAGCTATAGTGAAAAGAAAACAGGCATGACCAAAACCTTGTTGAGTATCCTTTATATAGGGATCAACATCCAAATATGAATATCAAATGTACACACATAAGTAGCAGTGTTGCAGGGAGCCTGTAATAGAATTAGACAATTCTCATGTTCAGAGCAAATGATGCAACCCGTTTGTACGCCTGCTGTATTTCATACATCGTCCACTTAAACAGAGCAAGCAGGATGTCCATTAGGCTCAACTCGCTGCTAGTCATGTACCAGTGCAAGTACAATTAAAATCAATAACCACTTAGTCCCTGAACCCATTATGTGCCTCTGTAACACTTTCCACTACCGCCCACAGGATGGCTATGGGGTGCATAATAAATGAACTAAACTAACTAACCAAGCAATGGTTTAATGTCCACCTTATAGCTCTGATCAGCCACAGTTCAACAAAACCCTACAGCAACAAGGCACACAGACCAAAGAAGTTATCTCCTCTGACATCCCTATATGCCAATGTCGTGTTTTTTTGCAGATGTGGCAAAACTCGGATTGAAACTGTGAAATTAACTTACCTCAATGCACCAGTCAAGTCAGAGACTAACCATTTCCTCAAAAATGTGCAAAAAGGAATTATTTAGTGTTAAGGTTACATAGTGTTGTCTACCTTATTTTGGAAAAGGGAAGACTAATGCTTCACATCATTGAGTTAGGAGCTAGCTAGACATCCAGATTTAATTAGATATATCTATGGGAAAAATGTCTAAAGCTGAAGGAAATTGTGTATTAAAAAAATTTGTTTTGTCGGGAACAGGAAGCTGGTTCTCTGGTTCTCTGATTGTGAATCAGAGAACCAGATAACAGAACAATCAGAACAGAAAACAATCAGAGAACACAATTTGTGTTCCCTGATTGTTCAAAAAACACAATGTCTGTATGATTTGTGATTTGATCTCACAAAAGTTATACAGTTTCTTTAGTATTTCACCATCCATTTAATCAAAAGTGATTCTGAAGTTGGAAAGTGCAGCACATGCTCCTCACACAACGTCCTTTATGTGTTCCCCTGGTGACACACTACTATCCAGAACCACCCCTAGATCTCTCTCTATGTTTGAGATCTTTAGAATTCTGGTGTAAAAGTCTGTGTAATTACCTAAATACAGTTACAGGATGAGGTCTACACTCTTGGTTTCCCGTCTTTATACTGAGAGAAAGAACGTGGTGCGAGAGAGTAGGCACAATGCAAGTGTATATACACATTATTAAAAATCTTGGACCAACAGAACACATTATATGAACAGAAGAGAAAGATTAGGGCCTTTAGTGCATGCAAGTAAATACCAACTTACCCACTGCACTAAGCTCTGCACAACAAAGGTAACAGGATCACCCGTCTTCTTGATAACTTCAACAGCTTTCTCATGAGTTGCTTCTCGAAGGTCAATTCCTTCTACTTCTAATATGCGGTCACCAGTCTGTCAGACAAAATTAACTACTTAATAAAAAATAACATCAAGGAGTATAATGTACAGAAATGTATTTTATCTAGAATTGACAGGCAGAAAGCTGTGACTTTTGGAAGTTTCTCTAATATTTTTCAACCCGTTCTCGCAAATTTAATAAGTCAATATTGACTTATTAAATATGTGCATAGGTGACATACTTAACATAATAGATACCCTTAAAAAGATTCATAGAAAACACCGACTTTACCCAACCTACTTAGTATGTTAAGATAAGCATCTTATTGCTTCGTAATTACAATTATTACCTAACCTATAATAGGTATAGGTTAAGTAATAATTGTAATTACGAAGCAATAAGATGCTTATCTTAAGATACTAACAAGGTTAGGTAAGGTCGGTGTTTTCTATGAATCTTTTTAAGGGTATCTATTATGTTTAGTATATCACCTATGCACGTAGTTAATAAGTCAATATTGACTTTACGAATTTGCGAGAACGGGTTGTATTTTTATGTTCAATTTCTATATTAATGCAGACATTTGTTACCCTTGTCAAGTTTCTACCAATAAAAACTACTTTTTTATTTGTTATACTTGTGAATGGACCCTCCTGTGATCCCCAAGCACAAATTGTCGATATAGCCTTATCATATACAGTACCTAGTTCCTTAAACCATTTCCATCACTGGTCGTAATGCATCACTATACTCTATCTTATAATAATAAAATATATTATAAATTTCTGGCACACCATGGCCCAAACAACCTTCAACTAACATTTTGAACATTTATAGATCCCTACTAATATTAACAAGTATATAATTTAATATTAAAAGAAGACATGTGTGGCATTATACCTATACAGAAATAATACCTATAAAAGAGTATTGTGAAATTAGAGAAATGTGCATTACTAACAGTGTTCTTCATAGCACACAGGTCAAAAAATTAAACTATTCCTTAATTTTATATATGATGATAATATTTAAACAACTACTGTATTCCTTAATTTATATGATGATAATACTATATATACAACTGTTCCTTAATTTATACATGATAATTTTTATTTATAAACAAATACGGAGGACCTGATTACAGCGATTTCATAGTAGATCTATATATCATTTATAAAGTCACAAATATCACAGAATTTCAGGCTATGTTAAGATTAATGAAAGTAAGTAATCATCTTAAATCACACTACAAATGAAGTAAAATCCATATTAGGCACAAATTAAAATGTTGTAATTCAAATGACTTATCTTTGAATCATATTTATATTTTTGAAAAGTTATTCCTAATTCTATTTTCACAGCCAAAAATATCTTTACTAAAGCTTTGTTTATATGCTACTGTACAAGGTATAAAGAATAATGTTCAATCATTGATAATTCAGTTGAAAACTGAATTATATGAGCAACAGTCCTAGTTTCTAAAACAGAGAAAACAAAATATCCTGAATACTGATTACAAAAATTTAGCAGTAAATGTAATGAAATTACATTTAATAGGTGGCCTAAGTAGCTCCCTAGGGCCAGATTCACGAAAGCACTTACGCCAGCACTTACGAACCTGTACATCTTTTCTCAATCTTTGGCAGCTTTATTTCAAATTATTAAACAGTTAATAAGCTCCGAAGCAGGAGGCTGTTTATAACAATAACAACAGTTGAATGGGAAGTTTTCATGCTTGTAAACTGTTTAATAAATGTAACCAAAGCCGTCAAAGATTGAGGAAAGATGTACACGTTCATAAGTGCTTGCGTAAGTGCTTGCGTAAGTGCTTTTGTGAATCTGGCCCTGGTGACTAGCTGCGCTACTACAGACAGCCACAATGCTACCAGAGATTTAGACTTGCGTACATTAATTAACTTAACACTACAATCAATGTTGTCGCTTGGTACACGTTTGAGTAATAATGCATGGATTGTTTTACCTTGTCACCTATGAAGGACGTGAGACACTGACCTTCAAATGGCCTCCCTTCCCAGCAGGGGAGTCAGGAAGCACATTCTTGATAAAAATTCCTGTCACAGAAGAACCAGACCAACTAAGATCCACCTTCCCGCCAACAATGGAAATTCCAAGGGAATTTCTCTCATCCCGACGCACCTGGAGAATTGAATATTTCAGTGTTTTGGATCACAGATAAAGTTATTCAAAATTGATTTATCACTATGCATCACAATTTTATTTATCACTTAACACTATGCTAATAAAACATTTCTTGCAATAATACAGTACTTGTTCTCCAGGCAATACAATATATCTCTAAGAAGAAAACTATTACTTCAAGATAATATGAAAAGCACCTTACCAAGCAGAGTTACTTGGCTGGTCTTTAAGGTAGGATCCTTGACAAAATTCTTGATTTCAAATAATCCATTCATACAAGACAAAATTCAATTTATATAACAAAAATTTGGAATGAACTCCACTCTACTCAATCTTTGAAAATCAGGAGAGTACTTTGTTAAAGGGGTTCAATGCACAGTTGGGTTAAAGTTGTGCACAGATGTGGCTTCATACAATAAGCCAAGTCTACTTGACTCACGATCTTCTAGATCTTATACCAGTGATTTAGGTGGATTTTTGTTGTGCAGAAGGTACATTTGACGATTTGTCAGGTGTGTGCAGATGTGGATTGGTTTGTGTATCAATAACATCATACCTTGGCAGAGCAGAAAGTACCATTTCTGTTATTAATTTAAATATCACCACGCATCCCCCCGCCTTCCATTGTCTAGTGAGAAGATGCAGTTAGGTAGCAATCCGTAAGTACTCCCACATAGGTTTCTTCTTCACATTTCTGTCAAGGACTTAACCAAGTCCAAGAGAGGACTTGGTTAAGTTTCTTAGATCTTTTGATATTATTTTGTCTGAACTAGTTAAGAACATTGGGGCACAATACCATGGTAACTGGGAGCAGAGTTCAGTTTGCTTTAAAATGAAAGGGTAGCATTAGGACTATTAACACTTTCACACTCTAAGCGCTCAAAAAAAAATCATACCCTAGATGCTTTCGGCGCGCCTACGCGGTAAGACCGAAAAAGTGTACACTCTTTTTATTGTCCTGACAATAATTGAAGGCGCACGTATTTAAATTTGGTATCACTGTGTTCGCAATAAAATTGTCTATAAGAACATATCTATAAAATGCCGCCCAAGCATAAGGACTATCAACACCAAATAAAAAACTATTCAGATCACTCGCCAAGAGCGCCAAACAGCAACAAAATGTTTCCACTCTCTTAATGGTTGCGAAGCCTACAGTTGTCCTACATCGCTAATTGTGGTATCATTGGAATCGCAATAAAATTCTCTACACGGACATATGCATATAAATATAGATTCAATGTCGTAGCCCACCCAAAACAGTGTGGGAACTGGCCGAAGTGTTACCCGCGGCAGCATATCGGCGAAACTCGCTTTGAAAAGTGTATATTCAATTCACTGTCCTGACATTATTTGTCGATGTATGTATTTCATTTTTGTACCAATGTGCTCGCAATAGAATGTTCTATAAGAACATAAGTATTAAAGGTCACATAAGGATGCGTTCGACCAGCAACATATATAAAAACTACGTCGATTACACTCGTCGTGTCAATAATACAATTGTTTTATCACGATGATTCACTGCCACGCCGTTTTCTTTTATAAGCTGTTCGGCTATTAGAGAAAACGTAAATTTCATGGCAAACATTTGTATACTATTCCCAAGTTGATCGGATAATAAATGGATTTTATACAAATATTTTTTCGATGGACTACAGGCGTCGTCTGTTATGCGTTGACGCATAAAATACGGTGACGACTCATGGATAATCCTAAGCGCGAAAGTGTTAACATCTCAATGAATATCCTTTCTGTCCCCCCCCCCTTCCCCCTGCATATTTCCTGTTAGGCTCAGGATTTTTTGCCCTCATGGTTATGGTGTAAGTATTGCATTCTATTTGTGCATGACCCTGTCCAACAGGTAGTATATGCTACCTTATGTAGCAAGCAAATGTGATAGCTATGAAACTCTACATGAACAATCCTCAAACTCAGCATACATGGAAATTAAACCCCTAAATATAAACAAAAGATATAAACTAAATTTCTTCAATATTAGGGGTAGTGAATGAATGGAACACACTAGGTAAGTATGTAGGGTGGATAGTAACCAAATGGAATACTAGAAAGAGATGTAGTGTGGAGAGTGTTAAGTGGAACACACACAAGGTATGGATGTATTGTGGATAATTAACAAGTGGAACACACACGGTAAGGATGTAGTAGAGGCAAACACCATAGATGGATTAATATGAAAACAATTCCCAAACTATGGGATTCCAGTCATCATAGCAGTCAACGTGAGGTTATACGATGATAATCACGAGCTCAAACTCATCCATCTCAATAAATAAATAGGCGAGAATATTCTAATGCTCAGATCCTCAATCGTTGAAACAAAACTACTGTGCTTGATTAAAACATTTATACTTAAGTTACGTGTAAATATTCATCCTTCTGCCCAAAGCTATTCAAAGTTTACCTCGACTGTGCGCTCAGGACCCCAGTGTTTGCCATCCAGCATGGGGCTTGAAGAGTCCGAGCGGCCCTCTGAGGCTGCCACTGTGATGCCCTGTAAATGATAATTACATTATTTCAACAGCATAAAGTACGAGAACAGGGGCATACGAGAACCGAGGTGCCATTGTATCTCTATTCTTTTTTATATAATATATAAATGTTATCCTTTTTCTTTATAGTTAACTTAATGATTTAATGATACAAACAAAAAAACTGGTATTATTCTGGAACTATATGAATATAAAAATTATATAAATATCAAATTTCAAGTTAACATTATTTATTCAAAGCCATCAATAAGCCAAAGTTACCTTTCGGTACAAATGCATTATGAAATTAACAAATATAATTAACATACAAGCAAATTTAATATTATATATTGTCTGCATGCACTCTAAAATTGCAGCCTTATTAGTCAAACTGCATTTGCAAAACATTTAATTGAATAAAACAAGAATTATATTGTCACGACAATATGCTGAATTGACATTCATTACGACATTATGGCTGAACAATCCCACAAAGCACAACAACACTAACAAATTTGCTCAATGTTCCTTGCCTTACCCGTTGACAACATTAACTCAGTGGCTGTAGGAGTGCATGCACACTCAATACACTATACTTTTCTTAAAATTAGCAAAACAAAAAAATAGTACAATGAATGATGCAAGCATTGTAGGAAAAATAATGTCACTACAACTTAAAATACATCAAACAAAAATCAGATGCAATAGTTTGGTCTATGGTAATTGACTATAGTATTAAGATAATTCATAAGCAAATACCTAATTATTAATTACAGTGTCAATTTTATGAACCTTTGTTATTACCCTGTAAGTTCACACTATAATGTGAAGAATGCAGAATACGGAAAATCTCTCTACTTTCTGACTCGTTTAGAATTCAGTCCATCAACAATTTACTCTCTCTTTTTCCGAATGCTCTGAACCTTTTGAAATTGGCTGAAGTGCCACTCAATTAAGATCCTTCATATTTATTACCCTTACATTTGCCAAAAATACTGTATGCTATGAGTTGTAGTGTCCATAATTGTATGCTTTGATGACATTGGCCACTCTTTTGGCTGAAGACAAAAAACGAATAATGTTCCTCACTCTGCAAGAAAGTCCTGTCATCTCATATTTGACTCCCATTAGGGAGCCACACTAAAAACTTTAAGCCTGTGTCAAGATAAGATGAACGCTGTGTTAACACAGTGCCGTAGTGACCATATTAGTGCCAAGTAAATCATTTAAGAATCAATCGCAAGAAGTGGTAGGTAACCTGATCAGGTGGCTCTAGTGTGTTGAGAGAAGTGATGTAAAGGAGCGAATGTCTCTATATGGTTAGGCACGAGGAACACTACGAACCTCATATAATGAAACAATAGAGACCTACTGGTGATTGGCCAGAGCACAGTATTGCTAGGGTCTCATTTTATATATCTTCAGTATTATTATATACTTTTAATGACACTATTTTTTTAAGAGGATATCTCTGTCCCATAAAAAGGGGAATAAGGTAAAAATTATGATGATGATTATGGTCATTAGTTTTATGATTACTGTTAATAATAATAATAATAATAATAATAATGAGAAAATCCATAGGAGCCATGATGAGGATTTGAACATATGTGCTGGATATTCCCAGACACACTCCCCAGACAACTAGGCCACGACATGGTCAAAAGGATCGTTACCTGGCGTTTTACTGAACCCACGAGGGTTCCCGAGACTTCCAGTGAAGCCAAACCAGGGTTTCACACAAGCCCCCCCCCCTCCATGCACTCTGGCTCCATCATCTAGGAATGTTCTACCTTCGACGCTCCTCTTTCAATGCACAAAGAAATCACACCAACGTGAAGTATCGACGAGAACATCCGGAGCAGCAGTGATGAGGATTCGAACCTGTGTGTGGGGCCTGTGCCTGGGAATACCCAGCACATAGGTTCGAATCCTTATTATGACTCCGACGGGTTTCCTCGTTGATACATCACGTTAGTGTGAGGTCTCTCTGAATAATAATAATGTAATAATACTAATACTAATAATAATACATTATTATATATTTAATTAATATTAATTACACTATTATTATTATAATAGTAATTATTATTATTATAACAGTAATTATTATTATTAATCATTAATTCAAGAATAGTTATAAGGAAAATAATACAACTCAACTTGGAGAAAACGTATCAAAAGACTTAAATCCCAATGATCACAGGCACTGCATTACTAAACAGTTTGTCTTAGATTAGATTCACATCTCTGCCAGAAATCCCCAGACAAAATGCCACCATTGGCACAATTTCGACTGAACTCCAGAAAATGGTAAAATCACCCATTACAGTTAAGAAAATGAACAACTATCATAAGGTAATCAAGGCAGTACAGTAAAACCATAAAAATGCAATACAGCATTAATTACAGTATTGTATTTAAAAATAATAGTAATAAAATAAACTGACTTATTACTACAGTACATACAAAATTAATGAAATATGTATTGTACACTATATATGGCATTTAACTATGAAAAACTACTAAAACTGGTTTCAAATGACACAACTTAATACATCGTTTGTAAACTGATAACTTTTACAGCTTACAAGCTTTAGAGACCATGCTAATATCGGAAGCTCACACAAGCATGCAAAGGGTCACATTCCAAAATTAAGAAAATCAGTCTCAGCGAATAAAAACAATGCATATGTAACCAGCCATGCATATGATACAAATTCCAGCAGATTTAGCAAAGTCATTGATGATCACTACCTGCGTGACAGTCATGTTAGTTTTATCCGAGGTAGATAAGGACGACACCGTGGTGGATATGGTTGTAGTAAGAGTTGCTCCTACAGAAGACGACGCGGCCTTAGTGGTGGTTGTCGTAGTTGTAATAGCCGGAGCGTAATTAGTTTCTGGTGAAAACTTTCCTTTACTGTATATCAAACCTGATACTAATATATGTTTGTCTGTATCACTAATTAAAGGAATTTGTTGCACATTTTCAAAGCCATTGGGTGGAGCTTGCCTAGATTTTAACAATTCTTCACTTGGGGATAATCGACTGGGGATATAAATGGAATTGGATTCACTTCTTACAAACCTATTTGTTTCTTCCGTTGCTGAACTGCTTTCTCCACAAGGTTCAGTAATTCGACTATGTTGCGGCTTTCCAGATGGGATCAAATGTTCCCGAGCCAAGTATATAGAGTCAGGAATGATTTCACTGTACTGCCTTTCAAAGTACGGAGCAGTAATACGGGATGTGTCATCAAAAGACTTAGAACTCGTTATAGATCGCCTCTGTACAACATTTTCAACATCAGTAATGTGAGCTACCACCAATCTCGCACTTGGAGTATTTAAGTCGTCTGATAAAACGTCACTAACAGAATGTCTATCAGAATCGCACTCGACAAGTAAAGAGCTACTCCTATCAGCACTGGAGTCGGAAGATTCACTATATTCACTTCTCCCTTTAGATTCTGCAAACCTAACTAATCTTAATGATGATTGCTGTTGAAGGTTTGCTGAAGAAATACTGGAAGGCTCAAAGTTATCTGGAGCCTGAAAAGCACCATCAACTCCAGTTAATTTATTCCCTAAATGACTGTTCAGTAAAAACTCATTAGTGACACAAGATACATTAGTCCCAGTTAAAATACGTAGATTAGTAAAGCTTTCTGGATTAGTATAAACATAAGGATCCCCTCCAGGAGGTCGACCCAAACTTACTCCGTTGTCTTGGAGAACTCCTAAAACCTCATGGTCCTCAGATTCTGGTTCAAGTTCTTCTTTAGAGCTGTATTCCGGCTGAGCTTCAGAGACGTTCTTGAAAGTTATTGTAAATGGTCTGTCTTCACTGTCATCTTCTAGGCTTCTCTCTTCTTCGCCTCCAATATGAACCGAAGACACATTAGCTTCCTCAGTGCGTGACTCCCCAAAAGTCTCACTTAGAGCGTGTTTGATATTGATTACTGTAAGTCCCTCGGCATCACTGTCTAAAGGCTGACCATGTGGAAGGCTAGACACAGACCCGAGAAGATCTTCATGGCTATGATCTCGTGATCTAAGATCATGAGTAATAAAGGATGGGGCCGTAATTGAGCGAGTAAGATCAGTACTTATTCCACCACCAGCTTCGTCTTCAGAACTGTCTCCACGAGGAACATACGGAGACCTGTAACCAACAGACTGTGTTAATATGAAATATTTATCTGGCATTGACAATGTACTTTGAAAGTCAAAAAGATTAAATTTTTAAATTATTAACTTTTAAGTAATAAATTCTAGTTTAATTTTAGCTTCATGTTAGCCTACAAATATTATTGACATGAAAAATACTGCTAAACTATATAAAAACAAATTTCCAACCATTATACTGTATATGCAAAATATTTAGGAGTTTTCTTCACTATTATTAGTTACAAAACACATTACATACATGGATCAAAAGTCAATGGCATGCAACATCCGAGAAATGGCGAAGACATGCCCACTACACACAAAATGGTTTATACAAACAGTATTCGCTCTCGGCTCTTCCAACACTAATTGGCATCCCTAGATTCAGTCATTTGCTAGTCTCAATAGACACTAAAGAAATAATCTTTAAGGAACAAGCACTGGTTAGCAAGACTTGTCTGCTGAGAAGTCTTCCTGTCACATTGGGAAGAAAACATACAAGCACAACACAGAGAAGCAAACTTTCAGGAAAACTTTCAGGTAAACTTTCAAGTGAATACAGGGATGGAGATAACCCATAAAGAATAAATAAGGTATGGGCTAAACAACACAGTTTGTCGTTGCTTGAGATTCAATACATGAGAAAAGGGAAGTAAACAGTTTGTAGACAACTGATGCACAGTATCAGATCACAATCATGAGACTGATCAAGTTACACGTATGAAGAAAATAACAACAATACTGGTTAAACAGAGGAAAATGGAGGAACATGCTCCCAATTGTATGTTAAATTACTCAATAGAAATTAGATCTAAATGCTTTTAATTGACTTGATACCATTATCAAGTCGATATCACAATCGGCTTGATAATGGTCCTGGACGGACCAAAACGGCGTCGTCTCTATTTTCTGGTGTGTGGTTTGGTCATTGTATCTTCAGTTACGTTATTGCGACTCTGTCTGCCCTGACCCATTTACAATACGGTTTTAGTAAAGAAAATTTAGTAATGTATAAATATTAAGTATAATAAAATCTGATATCAAAATCAGTTAACTGGTTTCAAATTTAAGATTTTAATTTATATATTTATTTTGTAAAGTATTAATATACACCCAATCACCCATCGTACACCTAACTACATTCCTAAAAACCACACGTCTATGGCAGCAATAATAAACAAAAGTCCCCACACGCCCTGGAGACCTATGGCAGTACCATACGTGGATAGTGATCCATTTAAATTTTACCAAAATGCACATCAAAATCAATATGTTCTCAAAACAGATCACAATATAATAGGCATCATTACAGGATTACAATTTCCTTAAACAATAAAATGATTAAAAAAGTTTAAATTAACAAATCTAGAAACTCAAACCTAGCAGCACATAAATAAGGCTGAGTCAATAAGAAAGTACTGATTTAAGCCGAGAAATTCAGCTGTTCTAAGGTAAGAGTCTACTTTGTCGGACAGTGATTCACGAAGTCAAGCAGGACGACATTCAGGCACTGCCGGCATCACTGCAAATGAGACGGCAAGGTCATATAAGGCACTAGGGAGGCACTGGAGAATGGATGAGATCATCCACGAAAACTCGGACTTAATGAATTGTCACTAGGTATCACAAGTCACTGACAAGTGAGGTTTCAGAACTGCTCATTTATCTGCCTAGCCAACCATGCTACTTTCACCATGTGATGGCACAGATGCCTGCCTAGGCCTCCAAACTAATAGTATGTAACATTATTTCAAAAACATACCAAATGGGAGAACACTGGGACTTTGAACATGTCTTTGCTCATAAAAGGGCTTTGCATATTTCCAAGCCATCACATTCAGTTACTACAAGGTAATGTTGGAAACAGATGCCACAGAACCAAGAGAAATTAAACAATTTAAAGGGAAGATACTCATGTGAAGCAGACGTGTGCTGAGAGAAGCAGTATTAGGAATACCAGGCCAACAGATAAAAGGGCCAAGGAATGCCAGCACCAACACCCCTACTGTCCAAGATGGTCGTCATAACCACTTGCACAGATCTCAGAGGAAGACACTGCCAAGAACAGCACCTTGTAGATGGAAACCTTATATAAATCAAAAGGCCAACAGTAAGCCTCAGGTTGGCTAAGTTTCACCTCCTGAAACAACAATTAGGAGGCTTCAGCCTTAGAGCATGGAACCAAGATATATAAGTTGACATACAGACTATCCAAGAAACGAGAAGATTTAGTCAGATAACAAAGAAGAAAGACTGCCAGACAGAGCATGATGAGGCCTAGTACAAAGAAACCAAGCCCTGGTGAAGTGTGCGCCTCACAAAGGAGTCTCCATGACCACAAACAACAAACACCTGTGAGAGAAGCAGCGCATGTAACACTCATAAAATTGCCTTTAGAAAAAGCAGGAGGAAAGATGGTCTTGAAATAAAGATTTAAAAAAACATGAAGTTGCAAGGAAATCTCTCAGACAACAGGTAATCAAGTACTGTACCCAATAGGGTGTCAAATCTAGGTACTGATCATCTTGAAGTAATTGTATTAATCAAAAGCCTCCTTCCCTTGAACAATCAAGAAAAGGAAAACAGGAAAAATAACAGAGGTTACTTTGTGAAGAGCTGGATAGCACTGCCTTGACTACCAGGTACCTTGGTACTATCAACTGAATGACAAATGAAGATTCTGAATTAACATCTTTGCCATTTGCTCCTTTTAAATACAGCAACATATTTGGCCTAAATACCTTACATGCAGAGAGCCTGGGATGCCTAGAATAGCTCATAAAAGCCTAGAATGGTTTATTTAAAGCAGAAGCATGAAAAGAATTGAAAAAAGGACCAGGTTGGAGCACTGGACAAACAGGGATGGAACACCCAAGAGAAGGCCAGCAAGATTACAAGGCCCTCACACATCTCCAACTTTCACATTACCTGGAGCAGCATCTTGATCAGATGAAATAAACAGACAGTCTCCCATTGGTTCCAACTGAGACAATCATCCACTAAAAATGCACAGTAAGAAGCAACAGACAGGCAGCTTGTGGAGAAATGCAAAAAAGTAGTAAATCACTTGGGAAAGCTGAACGTGTCGCACATCCAAAGAATGGAAGCTTTGTTCACTTCCAATTACTTCCAGATCAAATAAAACTTGGAGAGACTAGCTACCAGACAATATGTTCACCATCCTGCAGTGTGGACCACAAAGAACTAAACCTTGAGAAGGAAGATGAGAGGGTATGGTAACCATCACCAATACAATTGAAGAAAGCAAGCCGATCTCCACTTCCTCAGTTGATACAATGGATGGCCAATGTCTTATCTAAAATGTCAGACTGCCGAGTCTCTCGGGAAAGCCTGGCACCTCAACACCAAGCACACAATTACCAACTTCTACACACCGATGCGAGTGAGAGCCACAACTGGAAGTCACTGCTTTTTAATATTGTCAATCTCTCTGAATTGCTTCAACACTATCATATGGCCTTAGCATAAAACAAGTTATGGATTTTGAGCGCATAAAGTGCACTTGAGAGGAATTATTGGAGAAGTAGGAATATAGATCTTGAATTGTCTAATGAACAGATCCCTGTATAATACTCAAAGTCAAATCTGGAGCATCCACTGTGAAAAGTTCAGTCCCCCAGCATTCTCTGCTTGCTCCAATACTTTTTCTCATCCTTATATTAGGCAGACAAGGACATGAACTATAATTCCTTATCATGTTTTGCAGATGACACTAGGAGTTTTACGAGAGTAGACAATAGAGAGGACACGGCTAACCTCCAAACTGATGTAAATCAGGTCTTTCAATGGGACACAGATAATACTATGTAGTTCAATTAAGTTTTTCTTGCACTATGGACAAAATTATATTATAAAAATGAAAACCACATAAAACTGACAAATCCCACTGTAGAATGAAAACACAATATAAAAAATTTGGGAGTAATCATGTCAGAAGATCTTACTTTTAAAGAACACAATAAAGTAGCTGTCTTCAACTGTGTTAACAATAACAGGTTGGATAACAAGAATGTTTCAAACAAGGGATGCCATACCAATGATGATACTTTTCAAGATGATAGTGCTCTCTAGAGTGGAATATTGTTGCACAATAACAGCCACATTGGAAGCTGGGGAAATTGCTGACCTGGAGAGCATGCAGAGATCTTTTACTGTTAGAATCCACGCAATAAAACTTCTAAACTATTGGGACTGCTTAAAACGTTTAATTCTGTGTTTCCTAGAGTGCAGGCAGGAGGGATACATAATAATTTACACTTCAAAAATATTAGAGGGACTGGTGACTATTAGAGGTATTCAATCTGTACGTGGAAATAACACCACATGAGACCAGAAGGCATGGCAGGAAGTGAATAGCCCCTTTGAAAAGCAGAGGTGCAATAAGTACGCTGAGAGAAAGCACTATCAACATCAAAGGCACAAGACTTTTCAACACTGCCAATAATCACAAGGAGCATAACTGATTGATCTCCCATGGTGTTCAGAGGGATTAATAAACCCCTCTAAAGGATAAATGATCAACCAGATTGTGATTCATATGTCAGGCTGTGATCAGCTGCATCCATTAACTTGGTTAACGAGACCACCAACCAGGAGGCTTGGTCAAAGACTGGGCTGTGGGAACATCGATCCGTGGAGCCATCAAAAGGTAACCACAAAGTAGATGGAGTTTTATTGTCAGTTTTGGAAGTTTAATGTGTGTTTCCTTCACAATGTGGATTTCTTATAGGGATTGAAACTTCCTTTTTGTGGGGGCAAATTGTCCCAGGACTGCATTTTATTCTTGGTTCTTTTGCTGCAATTTGGCACTGTTGACTGCCTTGTGTGTGATCTCTTCTGGCAGCCATTTCCTCACTTTAAGATTGAAGCTCACTTGTAGCAAGAGCATCACCTCTCTACCTGCTATGCAGGCAAGTCAAGCCTCAATAACCCCAAGCATATCCTTAAGTGCTGGTCCTGTTGAAATATGCCACT